CACTTTGTAACAGTGTCTCCACATATGTATTGTCTGCAGCAGTTGTACCCACGGATATTATCTCTGTGTCCTCTTGCTTTGTATATGGGCCGGAGGCTTTAAGTACAATAAAACCTCTTGAACTTGACAACGTTGGCTGAACTAGGTCAGGCGCTACAAGAGGAGTGGCACAGACTCCCTCAAATCGCCTTTCGGAGGCTCATATGCAGTATGCCTCGTCGAGTGAATAAATGTTTGGCAAATCGTGGCGGTATTAACAACTACTGATGGAAAAATGTCTCCTTTGAAATTTACCCCTATCGACCTTTAAGATCGTTGGCGGTCATAACATCTGCTGTCATACTCCACCAGCGGTTCTAATGTGTTCCCAATTCATTCATTATTCGTATACAACTATTACTAGAAATTAATATCTGTTACAATTTTGGAAATTTTAAGTTATTGCCGTGTAACCCATGAGTATATAATTTGATAGGTGAGTGAGTGTTGTTTAATGCCACAGCCTGCAACATTTGGCCAATATCTCTGTGGCTTGTAAACAATTCAGTCTGTATCAAGCAAACAATGCCATCGGCTCGCGCTATCAGCCAAGTAGAATTGCATGTCCACCCAATACAACCTAGTCCCCTGTTACAGCTGCCAGTGGGGTGTTGGCCTTGGGGACACCCGATACCAACCTAGTTTCCTGTTACAGCTACCAGTGGGGTGCCGGCCTTGGGAACACCCGATACAACCTAGTCCCCTGTTACAGCTACCAGTGGGGTGTTGGCCTTGGGGACACCCGATACAACCTAGTCCCCTGTTACAGCTACCAGTGGGGTGCTCGCCTTGGGGACACTCGATACAACCTAGTCCCCTGTTACAGCTACCAGTGGGGTGCTCGCCTTGGGGACACTCGATACAACCTAGTCCCCTGTTACAGCTACCAGTGGGGTGCTGGCCTTGGGGACACTCGATACAACCTAGTCCCCTGTTACAGCTGCCAGTGGGGTGCTGGCTTTGGGGACACCCGATACAACCTAGTCCCCTGTTACAGCTGCCAGTGTAATGAGCTGTGAGCTCTATGTCATTGGTATCACATATATGACTGCACTTCTACATACTCTAGATGACAGTATCATGTACGTAGATGAAAGTATGTAAGTGGACGATAGTATCTAGATGGCATACTATCATCTACGTAGAAGATACTATCATATGCGTAGATGAAAGTATCTTCTACGTAGATGATAGTATGCCATAAACAAGTGTGTCAGCAGAAGTTGAAAAGAGCGATTCAGCATGAAAACAAATTTGAAATGGGGTAAAACAGTTGTTACATAGTGTATGAAATACCCTCTGAAGACATGTACTGCAGTCTTAAATTTAGAAGTTTTAACTCAATTTCAGAAAAAAGTGATAAGGGTAGGCAATTAGAACTAGGTTAAAAAATCGGAGCAAAATATTATTAGACTTTTTGGTAAGTCACCAGTCATTTCATTGGAATTGTAAGAGAGTATGTTATTACAGTGCTTGATGTTAGCCCAAATTACTTTAAACCTCTTAATCGTTCAGAGGAGGTTATGTTTTCAGGGGATTATTGTACGTATATATTCGTATCAAGGTTTCTTGGCGCAATCCATCAACGATTGTCGAGATTAATGATCTTCAAGTACGTTTCTAGGTCAAAGAGAAAATTTACTTTAGTGACAAACATATTTTCATTATAAATTTTCAATTCCTTTATATTTGGATACAAGCAGATATATTTCAGCAATTGATTGCAAGAAATTTATGATAATTCGTATACTCTTTGAAACTGTACAAAAGTTATCCGAAGATACCGGATGTTATTTGTGTATGCACGTGATCTGTCAACTCATTTGTTGTATTTGAATTCTTCATCAAAATAAAATGAATTGTATAAATATGATTAAATTCCCTCGTTTGTTTCAAGAAAAGGATCATGTACTCCTTATCAACGCATATAGCATTTCCACTGCAAATCGACACACTGGTTGACCAGCCTGTGTTTGTACCCTTCGTCATCACTCGTTCAGTCGTGTCGAACTGGTCAACATACTGCTGAAGCAAGTCATGCAAAAAACATCTTGAATAGCCTTATAAGAGTATTGAACAATATGTCACAATTAAGTTATTTGTCGAATATACGGTTGTGTAACCCATCATTTTGAACCCGAGGATGGATCTTTCAGTCATGTAAATTTATCGATGTTGACACCACCCTTTAATGACGATTGTACGATAAAGCCTATACCAACCATCTCTAACTTAACAGTTTTGTACGTTTGTCATCATACACAGTATTTCTCGAATTGTACATGTAAAACGCAAGCTCAACTGACAAAGATCATTAAAAGTCAGACTTTCCACATTTACACATCAATATATTTGTGTAAGTTTGTTACGTTATAATTATTCCATTGTGTATATTACTACCTACTTTACCAGTTGAAATATGATTCAATTAGGTTAAATATGAACAATTATGATGAAAATCGTCATTAGGATATATTACAATTAAGTACAAAACACAAATAAATAAGAAAACTAAGTACATTCTAGTAATTAATCCTCTTCTGGAGAACCATAGAAATGAAATTCCAATGCGTTTATATATACATATAATTATACAACAATGTACGATAACGACCTCACTAAACTTATAAGGTTATTACAATTTACGTAAAAAGTTATTACATTTTACCGCCAGTAGAGATTATTACAATTTACGTCAATTTTTATTACAATTTGCGTATTACAATTTACGTCAAATATTATTACAATTTACGTTGTTATTACAATTTACGTCAAAATTATTACAATTTGCTGCAAGTATTACAATTTACCTTTTTATTACAATTTACGTCGTAACAACCTGCATTTATCAAATTTGTATTCTAATGATAGAAAAACAATTCTGAGGTTCGCACTTTTTGTTCATCATGCACTTTCTCGGCGCAATAATCTTATAGTATCGTGAAGTCACTTCGTGAAATAATTGTGTACACCCACTTTGTAACAGTGTCTCCACATATGTATTGTCTGCAGCAGTTGTACCCACGGATATTATCTCTGTGTCCTCTTGCTTTGTATATGGGCCGGAGGCTTTAAGTACAATAAAACCTCTTGAACTTGACAACGTTGGCTGAACTAGGTCAGGCGCTACAAGAGGAGTGGCACAGACTCCCTCAAATTGCCTTTCGGAGGCTCATATGCAGTATGCCTCGTCGAGTGAATAAATGTTTGGCAAATCGTGGCGGTATTAACAACTACTGATGGAAAAATGTCTCCTTTGAAATTTACCCCTATCGACCTTTAAGATCGTTGGCGGTCATAACATCTGCTGTCATACTCCACCAGCGGTTCTAATGTGTTCCCAATTCATTCATTATTCGTATACAACTATTACTAGAAATTAATATCTGTTACAATTTTGGAAATTTTAAGTTATTGCCGTGTAACCCATGAGTATATAATTTGATAGGTGAGTGAGTGTTGTTTAATGCCACAGCCTGCAACATTTGGCCAATATCTCTGTGGCTTGTAAACAATTCAGTCTGTATCAAGCAAACAATGCCATCGGCTCGCGCTATCAGCCAAGTAGAATTGCATGTCCACCCAATACAACCTAGTCCCCTGTTACAGCTGCCAGTGGGGTGTTGGCCTTGGGGACACCCGATACAACCTAGTCCCCTGTTACAGCTGCCAGTGGGGTGTTGGCCTTGGGGACACCCGATACAACCTAGTTTCCTGTTACAGCTACCAGTGGGGTGCCGGCCTTGGGAACACCCGATACAACCTAGTCCCCTGTTACAGCTACCAGTGGGGTGCTGGCCTTGGGGACACTCGATACAACCTAGTCCCCTGTTACAGCTACCAGTGGGGTGCTCGCCTTGGGGACACTCGATACAACCTAGTCCCCTGTTACAGCTACCAGTGGGGTGCTGGCCTTGGGGACACTCGATACAACCTAGTCCCCTGTTACAGCTGCCAGTGGGGTGCTGGCTTTGGGGACACCCGATACAACCTAGTCCCCTGTTACAGCTGCCAGTGGGGTGCTGGCCTTGGGGACGCCCTATAAGCTGATACAAGGGGACACGGGTGGTCTAGCGTCTAGTGACACACAAGCTGATACTAACACGGATACAAGGGGACACGGATGGTCTAGCGTCTAGTGACACACAAGCTGATACAAGGAGACACGGGTGGTCTAGTGTCTAGTGACACACAAGCTGATACTAACACGGATACAAGGGGACACGGGTGGTCTAGTGTCTAGTGACACACAAGTTGATACCAACACTGATACAGGGGGACACGGGTGGTCTAGTGTCTAGTGACACACAAGCTGATACAAGGAGACACGGGTGGTCTAGTGTCTAGTGACACACAAGCTGATACTAACACTGACACAAGGGGACACGGGTGGTCTAGTGTCTAGTGACACACAAGCTGATACTAACACTGATACAAGGGGATACGGGTGGTCTAGTGTCTAGTGACACACAAGCTGATACTAACACGGATACAAGGAGACACGGATGGTCTAGTGTCTACTGAGACACAAGCTGATACTAACACTGACACAAGGGGACACGGGTGGTCTAGTGTCTAGTGACACACAAGCTGATACTAACACAGATACAAGGGGACACGGGTGGTCTAGTGTCTAGTGACACACAAGCTGATACTAACACGGATACAAGGGGACACGAGCGGTCTAGTGTCTAGTGACACACAAGCTGATACTAACACGGATACAAGGGGACACGGGTGGTCTAGTGTCTAGTGACACACAAGCTGATACTAACACGGATACAAGGGGACACGGGTGGTCTAGTGTCTAGTGACACACACGCTGATACTAACACGGCTACTACGCTGGGGGTAACCAAGAAACCGGTTCGCACGAAACTTAACTGGGAAATCAGTTAATGGCCACACAAGATCTATAAATAATCAAGAAATTTTATTTAAACACAATTTCAGTTTACATTTAAGAAGACATTACAATAGCAGCATCACTAAATATCATGCTTAGAATTAATTAAATGTATTCACGACTGTCCAGAATATTCTCACTTAATTGATTGAACCAGTCCTGTCTTCGTACTTGAATCTAGAATAATCTAGAATCTGGTAAAAGATCTAGATCAGGTCGTAAAGGCCTCGAATCGCCCTCTCGTCGCTCTTATATAGAGAGATACAGCCAGCCTTCTAGAAACTGTACCATCCACATACAAGATGCTTCTCGATCGGCAAGGCCTTCCTTGTTCGCATTAACCAACCAGGGGCGGATAACTCTATATTCCAGCACAAACCAACTTGAAAGCTTCACTAGCTGCTGTCGCCGCGGATCAAAGCTGGCCACGACATCACTGGGTATTTTTTACCAGTTGTTCAATCATTTGCTGCCACTGACAATTACTACAAATATATTTACAAGTCTCCACCACCACAAACATCACTAACACCCGTTGGGATTCGGGGTATGAATTTCAGTCCCCATCAATGTTCTGGTCTTGAGAGACGACCAAATGGATCTGGTGGTCAGGCCCGGTGACTTGGTTGATTGTTAGTCATAGTATTCGTAATTGCTCATGATGTCAATCTCTGGATTGTCTGGTCCACACTCGAATATCCACAGATCGTCGGCATACAGCTGAGTGCGACATTAACACCAAACAAAAAAACTTAGACATAAGAACCGCAAACCCATCTACGCAGGAATAACTGTAGCAGGTGGAGTGTTCTGTTTGAGTAAATCCTGCAACAATTTTTCATCTAAGACAGATATTTTCAAGTACAAATGTATCTATATATAGATATTTACTACAAAGATAAAAGCAAACAAAAAACATTTCCATATTCATAAGAAATATATGCTAAAAGTCCAATGTCCAATTCAGACTGTACTATAAATTATTCATAAATGACTATCAAATAGTGATGATACAAGGTCTTCGTTCTAGATTCTACACCTTCTATGGAATATAAAACATGTCAAACATGAACAACGTTGACCTAATACAATGAATCACGTTGTATGTGAAATTCGAAATACCACAGGTACAATTAGGCTTCAGAAAGTGCCCGTCCTCGCACATTGTCCTGCCCGGAAATGTGGCATCTTCATCTTCATCCCGAGCCATACAAGTCGAGCTTCAAGTGGTAGTGTTCAAATTCTTCTTCAAAACTATATCCACACATGTATTGAAACAATAAAACATGAAACTCTGTGTTTTTCTCTGACGAAACTCAAGCCAGGTTAGAATTGATCCCCAGCAACACATGGTAATCATACGGCGTCAGGCTCCCTGACAATGTTGATAGTGTGTCATCGAACTCGACAGCGCGGATCCATGCTTATAATATCAATAACTGGATAGTCTAGATAAGACTACCTTCTTTGACACACGCACGCACGCACGCACGCACGCACACACACACACACACAAACACACACACACACACACACACACTAACATACACACACACTAACACACACACACACACACGCACACACACACGCACGCACACACAAACTAGAGCAAAATGCTGCGCCCGCCCATGAACTAGTAGCTATAATGGTAAATGTTCAAAGCTCTCGTTCCATCATAACTCTTAGTCTCTTGCAAATCTAACAACCTATCCATCTTATCATTAAGTTCCTCGCTTCTTTTCACCTGTTTTCGTAGAATATGCTCAGCATTTGCTGGATTATCTGCTGTAGAACTCCGAACCTTCCTGTAAGACATAACGAATCTCTTAGTACTGTATCAATCAGTATTTGTTCGAATGGCTTCATCTGCATTGTCTCCATTTGATTCTTCAGGATCAACTCCAAGCCTCGGGAATCCAAGTTTTTTAGTCAGTTCAGAAAACCAGCCTTCAATAAAGATGATAATTGATAGCTTTTGTAACCGACAAACCATTTCTCTGTTTGTTTGTGTGTCATGGAATCGATTGGTCATTACACCAATGAGGGCATTGATCATCAGCAGAAACGTGATCAGTAAAAATACAGCAAACAGAAATACTATGATAAAATCTTCACGGGAGTCCAATAGCTCTCCAATTTCTGTTAAACCAATCATCAGTTTACCCATGGTAAGTAATGATTTTCCATAGTGTGAAAAATCACTTATAACATCCCTTCCTTGTTCAGTGTGTAGAAACGTTGCATGCATACAGGCAGAGAACACAAGCACCTGCATCAGGATGAGAACGGCAAATGGCATCACAGCCCTAATCAAAGCTTCATTTAGAAGTACAATATACACGCTGAAGTATTTGCATATTCGCAGAAAGAACAATATTGACCATGTACCTGCAAGGATAGCCAAAATCAGAAATAAGATTTTGTAGTCAACAAAGACTGAATCGGGTATCCTGTACAATATCGAGTCAACAAACAAGAAAACAGCAAACAGGACAAAGAGGACCCTGTAGACGACGTTGTGGTGAAGTGCTTTCCGAGTAAATGGTTGTTTTCCAAAATTAAATCGAAGCGGGAATTCTTGAACAAAGTACAGAAAAGAACTGAGAAATGTAACAACGTTACAGAATTCAAGAAATCCTCGTGGTGGCCAGGGTATGCCTTCACTAGCAGCAGCTCTCGCAACAACATACACACACAACAGTATAATCAGAGATACGTGCCCAAAACACAGAATCCTAAAGGGATACACGTATGTTTTCAGTTTGCGCCGGACCATTTCTTCAAAAACGTCAGCGCTAACCAGTTTAGTTGCGACTTCTAGATCCTTACAGCAGAGAAGTTCAGCAACAGATTGGTTACTGATGTTGTCAACAGAAGAATTTAAGGTTTTTGGCTGATCTTTTCCTTCTTTAATTTCTCCGTCTTTTTTCGAGGCATTACTAGACCCTTGGGGAATTTGAGCCTTACTTCCCGCATCAGCTGCCTCTGTAGGATGACCCTCCTTGTCTGTTTCCTTTTTGGCTGATTGTGTTGGACATTGCTGAGCTTCGAGCAAAGCAACCTTGTCTATCTCGGTGACATCAAATCGTCGTATCTCATACAAGTCATCATGGGGGTAGGCAATGAGATACACTCCTTTTATTTTTATGAAGCAGGCAAACAAACTCATGTGGCCACATTCTGTTGCAAGTTGGAGTGCTGTCATGTGACTTTTGTTTTTTGTGAAAAATAGGTTTCTTTTATAGTCAATAACATCTTTATCATCTTTCATTGCTTTCTCCTCCATTAAGGACTCCAACCATGACATCATGTCCACTGCACGTGCCTCACACGCCGGAAAGCATCTTACAAAACGCATGATGCTGTGGAGAACAGTGTCGCCTCTATTGTTTTGTCCTTCAAGAACACCATTTCCTTCCACAAGCAATTTGATAATCTTCACAAATCTATTTTCTGGCTCCCTGTATGTATCGTCTTTGTTTGGGTCGTTCAAGTAACACAGGACAGCCGTGTGAAATGGCAACTGGCCCATGAACACAGTTCCATTCATCCTTCGACCAATCCTGTCAGTATATTTGCGCTCCACCTTTTCCATGCACTTAACCAAGTCAAAATCACCATGTGCCACTGCCAGAAGGAAGGGTGTCAGTCCATTATATGTGTTTCTATGAACATGCCATGTTCCAATGTCAGTGTGGATAAGACTGGGCGCATCTTTACATATTTTCTTCGCTGTTTCTGTTTTATGAAAACATACGGCTAGATGTAGAAGCGTGTGGCCCCAGAGTTCTTCATGACCTTCTCCTTCGTATTCTTGTGTATATTCCATAACCCTTTCTTTATCTTCTTCCTTCCTTCTGTATCGGTAATATTGGATCATATCTGCCTTGGCTGCTAAATTAGTTTTGTAATGCTTACGACAATCAGCATCTGTTGCTTTGGGTGACATAATCTTCTCCACAAAATCTTCAAAGTCGTTCAAATCTGAAAAAACATTAAACACGCATACAGCAAAAGAACAAGAGATAGTATCTCGAAACAGTTTCTGTGATGCAATACACTAGAAATGAACGTGGAACTTGAAATTAGCTTTGAAATATGTATCTGAAATCAGATAATCGAAAGTACGTTATACGATAGCTAAACCTGAATTGTTTTCTTGTCAAATGCATATCTCTATCTTTCCAAAATGTGATTAAATATAAACAGATAACACATCCAATGTAATCCAACATCCACTGATTTAGTACTCTTGGATATGTAGAGACCTTTGTCAAGTGCAAAGTATTGGTCTAGTCGCACTCCATCTTCTGATTATGATAGTTTGGCGTGTGTGATGTTTTTGATTACAAGTATTGTTTATAGGAATATTCTTTATGCTTGGCAGTTGTGATATCTGTTCTGCATGAAATGTTTTTTCGAGCAATTCATAAATTCAAGTAATATATTAATATGAATTTATGACAACATGCTTACCAGAAAGAATGTCTCGCATTTGCCGCCACGTCAGTCGCTCTTTGAAACACTTGTCAGTTTCATCAACCTATATCGATTAGCACATGCATATTATAACGCGTGTTGTGTAATATTCAAAGTACTTTCAACCTCAGCTTCTAATTATCATGTTTTCATATTCTACAAGATTGATATTATTAACCCAATGATAATATTTTCAGGAATCATGACTTAGAAAAATTAAAGTAAACGTTCCGTTACATTATGATATGGGTAAGGGTGCCGACCATTTCATTTTGTACCATGGAGTGCCTGGAATTCTTGTTCTTGACCTACCATTGTTACGTCACAGCTTTTGTACAATACCCGAAGTCTACATTACAGGAACTCCTTCCCCATCCCCGAATAGTCCGTCCATAATGGCAGCGACGACAAACAGGGTTACAATTAACAAAGGTTGTAGCACGAGAAAAACATGGTTGGAATTGGTCTTCAGCAATTCATGTTTGTCGTAAGAGGCGACTAACGGGATCGGGTGGTCAGGCTCGCTGACTTGGTTGATGCATGTCACTGTATCCCAATTACGTAGATCGATGCTCATGATGTAATCACTGGACTTTCTCGCCCAGGTTAGATTATTTACAAAACCGCTATCATAAAGCTGAAACATTGCTGAATGCGGCGTTAATTAAAGCAAACAAACAAACAAACCTAATAGTAAGTTTTAAGCCCTGACCTTGCCTGTTTTGGGTTGTCTTTTTCCAGAGAGCAGTGTCAAATAACCTTTTTGCTTGTTGTTGACAAGGGTTCCCGTCACCAGTTGGGCGGACGGCTTACTTATGGCTGTCAGACATTTCTTCTGAAGACGACCAATGTCCCCTTTCCTCCCCTCATTTTTGGCCTCGATGAAAGATTCTATCACTTCATTTATCTCTATGATGGCAGGGTACACTGAAATATAACACCGGAGTACTTATGCATTACAAATATATTTACGATACAACCTCAAGATACGGAAAACAATATCCATGTGCATATGCGACAACATCTGAATATACGTTCCCTGACTTGTACACGTTTCAAACATGTGAATAGGGTTACTTAATACATAAAGTCCACAAAGACCAGGGTGACTCCGACATGTGAATACTTGCAGTGCGATAGGGTTACTTAGTACATACAGTCCACAAAGACCAGGGTGACTCCGACATGTGAATACTTGCAGTGCGATAGGGTTACTTAGTACATACAGTCCACAAAGACCAGGGTGACTACGACATGTGAATACTTGCACTTACAATTCTGTATGTGCAATTTGATATGGAAATACATAATAAGAAGTGCTTTATTATTGTCCAGGGTTTATATAAAAGACTTTCTAAGTGTTGTGACCGGTGCCACCGGTGGGGCAGGATACGCTCACCTTTTCGCGAACACACTGGTATCATTACTATTTGATAGTGATTCATAAACACATGCTCATGATATAGTCGGAATTGGACAATCGACTCTGCTTTATGCAGAGATGACTATTAGATATAAACTACCGGGCAAAAGAAAGTTTTCACTTTAAAAATAGTTGTATAAAAAGCAAAAAGGCTGGTACAGGTTTGAACCTCCGCAGAAAACATTCGCCTAAATGCCACATGCCACAACCACAACGCAGATTTTCGAACGCAGCTTTCCAAATCATGCAAAACGTGATTTTGAGACATTCGTCCAAATGCACGTGCGTGATTGTGGCATAAATACCGACGTTGGACAGAGCAGGCATTCAGTAAGCAAAAAAACACCAAGAATATGCCCAGACTTACACAAGCGCAACGAGACAGAGCGATCGGTATGGCCAATATGGGAGCTACTCAACGTCAGATAGCCAGAACCTTCATCTGCTCCTAGACCGCCATCAGCATGTCGATAATCCGCTACCAACAGACAGGACAGACTCAAGACCGGCCAGGATCGGGAAGACCGAGAGTGACAACAGCGGCCGAAGACCGCTACATCCAGCAGATTCACCTCCGAAACAGATGTGTGAAGGCGACGTCAACGGCGGCAACGGCACTAGGGCATGTCATCAGCAGACCAACACTCCTTCGGCGACTTCGTACGGCTGGTATACGAGCCTACCGACCCTTCCGTGGAAAGGCCTTGACCCGTCTACACCGTCAACGCAGACTGCAATGGACACGAACTGTACATCGGTGGCAGCGACGTGACTGGGCGAGGGTGCTCTTTACAGATGAAAGTCGGTTCTGTCTGTTCAGGAACGATGGCAGAGTTCGAGTTTTTCGACGAAGGGGAGAACGCCTGGCGCCAAACTGCATTAGAGAACTTCACCCGTTTGGAGGTGGAGGCGTCATGGTATGGGGTGGCATTTGTGGCCAGATTACAGCACGGCTGGTTATCATCCGAGGAAACCTGAATGCTCAGCGATACAGGGATGAAGTGTTGAGACCTGTTGTGGTGCCCTTTATTCAAATCAGCCAAGAGGATTAGTTTTGCAACAAGACAGCGCAAGGCCTCACACAGCCCGAATTGTTCAAGTCTACCTGAACAACGTTAACGTCAACGTATTGCCCTGGCCACCTTGTTCTCCCGGCATGAACCCCATTGGACATCTCTCGGATCATCTTGATCGTCAGCTGAGACAACATGTACCGCCTCCAGCGAACCGACAGGAACTTGAACAGACTCTATTCAACTTATGGAACAGGATTTCCGTTGACGTTATCCGCTGACTGACGACGTCAATGAGGAGGCGTGTGTTGGCGTGCATGGATGCCCAGGGTGGTCACACTCGCTATTGATGACGTGTTACCTGACTACTGTGTCATTAATTGACTCTTCATGCACTTTTTCAATGAACTCTGATTTTTTAATTTTTAATTTGGACCCCTTGACTCTTTCTTTGTGTATTGCGGAGAATGCAATATCGGTATTACAATGTATTTTCATTCTAATTCATGGAAAATGATTTCTGTTTATAAATTAATCATCATAGATCTCACATAAGCCTTTGTTTTGGTGTTTGGTCAAGTGAAGTCGGTGAAAACTTTCTTTTGCCCGGTAGTTTAGAAAGGGTTTTGTCGCTTTATTTATATCACAACGTGTTCATTCCAGGACTGGGACGCGGGTGACCAAGTAGTCTAAGGCGCCGCAAAAAAAAGATTCGCTGTGCCGCCGGAAACCTTTCATGGGTTTGAATCCAAGGTGTCGACCAGATATGTTTCAGGTTTGTTAGCACCTTACCCTTCTTTGTGGGCTTCACCAAGTGGTAAAACCGACTTAATTTCGGGCGTTTCTCCCCTATCAAACTGACACGCCTTGATAAAACTGATATATTGTTCAAAGCGGCCCTAACCTCACTCACTCTCTCATCTTCATGGACGTTAGATGGAATGTCGCAACCAAACGATATAGTGAATTATCTAATGGGATATTGAGCTTTGTTTTATAATTTAGACAGGGACTTTCGCGAGACATGATTATTGGAAATAATATGAACACTGGAAAAGTCCATGAACATGTCCATCAGAAGTGTCATAGAGGCCAAAACAACTAAAGTCTTATATTCGAATCAAATATTTGCATCATGATAATAGTAAAACAATCAGTTGTGTGTTTTCGATAAAATTCAATGCAAAGTGTATCAAGCTTTTACTCCTCAACGTATGCAAAGTGTATTCAATTGGGTATTCCAGAGTAATTCACATTGGATGAATTTACACCAAAACAATTTCAAACACATCCCTTTCTTAGGGAAGAGAATTAAATACAAATATCAATTTACATAACAAAGATAACTGAATACAATTTTCAATTTATATGACAAAGAGAACTGAAACAATTATTAATTAACACGATGAATAGGTTAGCAGGTCCCCTGTGCATTCCCACATTTGGAGATCGTGCATATCCCCACTATTTCCCTGTGTTATAACCCTGAGGAATGTATAGTAAATTCCGTGAAGAAAATTACCTACATTCAAACATAATGCGTTGGACATCTTGCCGTCTCAAAAGATTTTCAAATCCACGTGTTGCCTCTGTGGGGGCCGTTTTCTCTTGTCGTTCTTTCTGCTCTTTCTGCTCTTTCTGCTCTTGTCGTTCTTTCTGCTCTTGTCGTTCTTTCTGCTCTTGTCGTTCTTTCTGCTCTTGTCGTTCTTTCCGCTCTTGTCGTTCTTTCTGCTATGAGGCATCAACAAAACTATGTAAAGGATTTATTTTTTACAATATAAAAATATTGCTTTACAATACAATATGTTTCAAGAAGAAAACAATATATGATCAAAAGCTGTGACTTGTGTATACCTTCAAACCTTCATATGAATATCTGGATTTGAACCAAGAAAACTATCTATGAAAAAGCTAAAAGAAACACAGCAAACCATATAACGCTTGTATATTGCATGGTGTTTTCAAGAAATAACGAATATTCAGGAGAAGTCGCTTCACATCTTCTCTATAAAAGGCCAGATATCCAATCCCATATCATTGCCACTCTAAGCAATCTTCGCAAGTTCAGAATAATACCCTTTTTGATCGTTTCAATGAAGTTTCAACATTTAGCCTGTATAAACTGACATGCAAATAATTACACCTGGCCGCTTAATTAGTACAAAAACCAGGTTGCTATGACAATATGACTAACTATGCGCATTGAAGCCTGGAAAAACAATGAAAATCAACCCTGGGAAAATATGGGTTTTTTTGGTCATCAAAAAAGTTAATGAATGTTGCATTCAGCATAAGATCAAGTGAATTAGTTGTCCAACTAATAGTATTTGTTGTCATAGCAACGTCCTAGAAACACACTATGGAGCAGAAATTTGCTGGCGGTATTTCTTAACTACATACATAGTGAGTACAATGTCATTTTACAATTCCTTATTTACGAGTTCCACGAGGGCTGGTCAAAAAGTTCTAAGTCTGACTAACATTCAACTAAGGGCCACAACAAAGTGATCTAGTCAAGGTAGTGCACTGATTAGTTCATTACAATTGTATTTGGTCTGTTGAGACGGTTTGTATAATAGTGACAGCCAGTATAACTTGATAGGGGTCAAAATGGACATAGAAATGGAAAATAACGAGTACTGAGCCGTCATCAAGAGCAGTGAAAAGTACTCCCCAAGAAACTCATGACCGCATGTCACAAGTGTATGGGGATAAGTGTCCTAGCTATTCCACTGTTAAACGCTGGGCAGCTATGTTCATGGCCGGGTAAAAAAGCCTTCATGATGACCCTAGGTCTGGACGTCTCTCAACTTCCATCAATGAAGATTCAATCAAGGAGACAGAAAAACTTATACTGTCAGATATACGTTTTACTGTTGCTGAACTTGAGAAAAACACAGGTCTGAGCCATGGATCCATTAAACAAGGGTCCATTCAGTAGGAGATGTCACCAAGGAAAGGACAATTTCTCGTGCGTCACTGACAATCATGGGAAATAATATGTATCCGCAAATAACGATTTTATAACAGAACAATATATTCATAATGACAGTGTCAACAAATGCCGTTTGTAATCGTCAAGTGAGGCTGAAAGTGGCGGAGGGTAAATTGGCTGTTCTAACCGTGATGATCCAGCGTAGAATAGGTTTTCAGCAACCCATGCTTGCCGTAAAAGGCGACTATGCTTGTCGTAAGAGGCGACTAACGGGATCGGGTGGTTAGGCTCGCTGATTTGGTTTATGGTGTCATCGTATCCCAATTGTGAAGAGCGATGCTCATGACAATCACTGGATTGTCTGGTCTAGATTCGACCGCCGTCATAAGGCTGGAATATTGCTGAGTGCGGCGTTAAACAACAAACAAACAATTGGCAGTTCACAAGTCTGTATTGCGTTTAGTCACCATTAGCAGGCGCCTCATTGGTGACACAAGATGGTTTAGGAAGGCTTGTGTGATGTCATTTCAGATCTAGACCAAGGCCTATCACAGCTGTACCAACGTCACCGGTTGGTTTGGAAGTTGGCGTAAACAACGTTTCATTTCATCCACAGATGATGGGCGACAAATCTGGTGAACTATCAGCCCAAGGGAGTGTGGGGATGTTCCGTTGTCCAGTGCAGTCTGTGAGCAGACATGGAACGTGAGGGCGTGCATTGTCCGCTGTAAAGTGAAGTGACGTCCATGGATCTGACGGGACGGGAGGACGGATGGCTTCGTCAAGGTACCGTAACCCTGGCCAGCTTCCATCGATGACCATCAGTGATTCTGTCATGTACAGATATTGTTCCCCACACCGTGACGATTCCACCACCGAATGCAGAACGTTGATCCACGAGTCAGCGTAACGTTCCATCTGATGTCGAGAAGCACGCTGACGGCCATTACTGCTGTCAAGATGAAACCTGGACTCATCTGTAAACAGGACAAATCTCCAGTCCTGTAACCTAAAACCTACATGATGTCGATGATGTGGCAGCAGACGTGGACGTACAGCTTGACGTCGCGGTCGGATGTTATGATCTCGTAATCGATTCCTCACAGTCCTTGCACTCATAAGACCGCCCCCGTGGTCTAGTGGTAGAGCGTCCGCCCGGATATCAATGTTTAGGGTCATCATGGATGATGATGACAAAATATCTGCACATGTGATTATTATGGATGATCTGAAAAATTCATAGCACTAATGTCATTTTTATAGTGAACATGAACTTAATGCCGCTAGTATATATATAAATGTATGAAATCAGAACAATTTCACGCGATACCTGATATTCAACTTCGTCTTTGAACAGCTTGCGATAGCCCTCTAACTTTTCAAAATCTGCTCCTTTCGGGGTCTTTTTGACCTCTGGAGGAAAGTTGGCATCTCGAAGCACTTGATCCCAAAGTTCTTTCAAATCCTGTCGATTCCTTCTCTGTATATCCCAGACTGCCTTGAATTCTGGAATAAAAGCATAGGTTGGTGGTTTTAGTATGAGGAGATTATAATCACATTTGGTTTCCTTTAAAGTATTGTATTGTTTGTTGTTTAACGCCGCACTCAGCAATATTGGTCAGGAACTAATGGTTGCTTTTCTCAGTGCGTTTAGATGTCAAACATATCTAAAGGCTTCTTCCGCTTGTGACGGTGCCACCGACGGAGCAGGACAACCTATCTTTTCGCGAACACTTGGTTTGTTGGTTGGTTATTTAACTCCGCACTCAGCAATATTCCAGCTATATGATGGCGGTCTGTAAAAAATCGAGTCTGGCCCTGACAATCCAGTGATTCACATCATGAGCATTGTTGAAGATCTATTCCACCCCAGTTCTTCACGGGTCCCTTTAATTTACTAAGAGTAACATCATCAGGCAGCATTCCGTATCTCGGTGATGTACGTGATCAGAGAGGCACTTTCTATGAACCTTTAGATGCAATAACCGAGAAATATGCAGTGCATCAGCGTGCACTTCCACATGCACATTCCTTCTATAGGAATCTGCTCAAATAGTACCAAAAATGTGACATGCCTTACCTTTCACAATGTTTTTTATTTCTCGTCGAGTCAGGAATTCGCACCTATTCTCGCCGGTGGTTCCCTAGAAGGAGAATTAAATATTTAAGAAATAAACGACTGGCTGTTGTTTATCGTACTAAAAAAACTGCAGGGAGTATGAACCAGCCCCTCAATGTTTATTCTCCATGCAGTACTTTATTGTACGATAAACAACGACAACGAGTTATTTATTTCTTATATGAGATATTAACATTAGGTACAGTATTTTGGTCTTTCCCTCATATTCTCACAAGTTTCACGCCGATTATCTGTACCTTTTCTCACAATACCAATTGTCATATCTCTCCCACACGTACGTACAAAAGACGACCATGTACACATACTACATAGTAGATGTTATTACGTAAGCTATATTTGTGATATTGATGTGCTCATTATTGTTCTGACAGTAATAGGCATGGTACGATATGAGTTAAGAGTTCATTGACGTAAACTTGTGTGATTAAATATGATATCGATTACATTGTTGTAAATCATCTTGAAATTGTTTTTACCTTTGGATCTTTGGGTGTCCGTTTTTCGGTGTCACGCTTCAAAATTAATGTTGGATAGCACCACTCTTCAGATTTGTTCATGTCGCCCACAAGATATTCACTAATGTTCAATTCATCTTTCCTTAGGCTCTCTAACAATTCATCCTTCTGGTCGCTTTTCAACGTAGCTATTTTCTTAAGTATATCCCGACCTGAAACATTTTGTCAAATAATTCATATTTGGATCCTTAAGAGTAAGGCTTTCCAACAAGTCTTCCTTCTGGTCGCTTTCTAACGTATCTATTTTCTTTAGTATATCCCGACCTGAAACATTTTGTCAAATAATTATTTAGATCCTTGAGGGTAAGGCTTTCCAACAACCCGACCTGAAACAATTTGGCAAATATTTATTTAGATCCTTGAGGGTAAGGCTTTCCAACAAGTCTTCCTTCTGGTCGCTTTCTAACGTATCTATTTTCTTAAGTATATCCCGACCTGAAACATTTTGTCAAATAATTCATATTTGGATCCTTAAGGGTAAGGCTTTCCAACAAGTCTTCCTTCTGGTCGCTTTCTAACGTATCTATTTTCTTTAGTATATCCCGACCTGAAACATTTTGTCAAATAATTATTTAGATCCTTGAGGGTAAGGCCTTCCGACAAGTCTTCCTTCTGGTGTCTCTCGAACGAATCTATTTTCTTAAGTATATCAAATTATTCCCTCAAATAATAAAGTTACTTACTTAATAGTACTCTGTGGATGTCATGTTTGTCCATTCTGACATCAGTTTTACTGTCTTCCTGTAAAACATCGTCATTCGAATCAAAATATGTATATCATTTTGACTTCATATTTATGAATATATTTATTGTAACATACAATTATATTTCTTATTTATTTCGTATATGCGGGTATTTGTCTTAATTAGATCATTTGTTTCTCAGTTGTAAGGGGATGTATGAGAGGATTTGGGGGCAAAATAAACACCCAAATTATCAGGCCGTACCTCAGATTCGCACCCACATTGAGCGTATACTGATTGCCTAAGGGAATCAACAAAGCGCATGATGGCGCCTTCTCCAACTGGGCTACCTAAAGGACCAGTTTGTCAGGACCTGGTTACCGTATCTCTGATAAAGCTGCTCTATACTTGTTGCTGAGAAAGCAGCTGTCATATCGCCGACAGCTGTCATGTGTGTCTGATATTTAACGGGGCACAAAGTACTATTACAGCTGTGTGACGACGGCCTGTATATAATCGACTAAGGGGCAGAACTGCATTTACAAATTGCCGTACCACTATGGCGTAGGTGTGTCTGTCTGAGTACCTTCTCTGTGTAATCTTCCCATAGCAGTATCTGATATTCTCTTTCCCTGCTTGGTTCTGCATCTGTTCCCCCTGAAGGCAAGTCTAGCTCAGCATCTGGGTCCTGTAAAGCGGCCATGATGTTCTTCGGATCCACCTTTTGATTGGATATAGCTTGATTGATCTTCACGATAGCAGCGTGATCTGTAACATCAGTTGTATACGAATAGTTATGACTGTAACACATTATTATCATCCCGGTCAATGGACCCGTGAAGATCCGGGGTAGAATAGGTCTTCAGCAGCCCATGCTTGTCGTAAAAGACGACTATATTTGTCGTAAGAGGCGACCGACGGGATCGAGTGGTCAGGCTCGCTGACTTGGTTGATGCATGTCATCATATCCCAGTTTGGTGGATCGATGCTCATTGTGTCAATCACTTGATTGTCTGGCCCAGACTTGATTATTTACAGATGTAGCTGGATTATTGCTGAGTGCGGCGTTAAACAAACAAGACAATGGAGAAGAGTGCGCTCGGATTGCACCTGACATGGTGCACCATGAGCAATACATACACACACTTGCATGAAGCACATTATACATTTTGGACTTTGGATTTATGGAAGTACCTGCCATTAGATGCATGCAGGAGTATGAATGTTAAATGTTATTTTGTCTTGAGATTACAGGCAGGTGAGCAGAAGGATGCGTTTATAACAACATACGTTTGATTATCCTTTCGATCTCTGCGAGACACTGGTCAATGTCTTCTCCAGTTACACCGTTATTTCCCGCAACCTTTGCATACACCGCTTTGTGCTCGCCTTTTTCCTAAAGAACAAAACAGGTATGCATATTAATATACTGAACCGCAAAAGAAACGTCATCCCAAGAAACGTTGCATGAAAAGTTGCACCAACACCACAGATGACTGACCACGTAGTGGAAGACCAAGGGCTACCACCCGACGTCAGGATCGTCAGATTCTGCGACGGGACACATTAGTGCGGACATCGTGCGTCGACGATTGACGAGCAGACACTTCCACTGTTACAGGCCACACCGAGGTCCCATTCTTCAGTCGGCAACACAGCACCAGCATTGGTGCCACTAGCAGTGGAGAAGAGTCCTCTTCTCAGACGAGAGCCGTTACTATATCTCAACAGCGGATGGGAGAGAGAGAGTCTGGCGACGCCGTGGGAAACTATTCAGATGTTTGTGTTGTTGAGAGAGACTCGTGGGGTGGTCCGAGCATTATGGTGTGGGGTGGAATTGGTCTTGCACAGAGGATCGGCCCTGTGGTCTTCTAGAACATCGGTCCAGGGAGAGGCAATGGTGTCACAGCAGCTCGATACATTGATCAAGTCTTGAGACCACACGCCATACCTCATTTGGCACGTCGCCGCAACCACGAATTTCAGCATGATAACGCCCGTGCCAACACTGCGAGAGACTTCCTCCAGCAGAGTGGCATCTGAACCATGCAGTGGCCTGCCCCCAGTCCCGAATTAAATCACATTGAGCACTTCGAGATCTAAAGACGGCTGAATGACGGCCGACCAAGGCCGACAACTGCAGCTGAACTATGTCAGGCGTTCCTCAGAGTATGGGCTCAAGTGCCTATGGCCTTCATCAACCGCCTCATTCATTCCATGTATCGACGTTGCACGGCAGTCATCAATACAAATGGCGGACACACGAGATACTGACTTGTGATGGCATTTTCGCAGAGACTAGTGTTGTGTTTCACTTTAGGAACATTTGACACTTTAATTTCAACCTTGATGATCAGTTTTGCCAAGTTTCATCTTTTTAATATCTCTCAAAGTATGTTTACAGTGTTTGGACAAATAAGGTTTCTCATATATCTAGCCATGGTGACGTTTTTTTTGCGGTTCAGTATAGTTTGACAGGAGCGTGACGGGTAATTATCTTGTACACAAAAGGTGGACGTAGTTGGATAAATCAGCAACGGTCATTGCTGTCTGTTAGCCAGGAAATCAGAACAGACTGTCATGCTGGAAAACGGCGTCTGGTGATTGCAGAGCACGGTTAAGCACACACATATTTGTTCTTCGTCCATAAGATGTGACCACTCACATCATGATACATCCACCGAATATATTGATTTTTTTCTACGCTACATTCCAACGTTCATTCCGTCGCGGGTACACACGGATCTGTAAATTTCTCTATTGAAGACGGAATGGGGATTCGTCACTTCACCAAAAGGAAGGCCAACTTAGGGAAGCAATTGGTGATGAAATCGTCACCATTGCAGCCGCTGAAGTCGCTGACGTTGAGGTAAAATAACGCCAATGTAGGGCTTCTGTGGTGATGCTGGGTCTCCCTGATCTTGGGCGATCTCTAGTAGTGCCATGTTGCCCATATTGAGTATATTCAGTTGGAAAATTAAGTATTGAGTCAGGGACATAAACTACCGGGCAAAAGAAAGTTTTCACTTTAAAAATAGTTGTATAAAAAGCAAAGAAGATGGTACAGGTTTGAACCCACGCAGAAAACATTCGCCCAAATGCAATATGACCACAACCACAACGCAGATTTTCGAACGCAGCTTTCCAAATCATGCATTGTTCAAAACGTGCAAAACGTGATTTTGAGACATTGGTCCAAATGCACGTGCGTGATTGTGGCATAAATACTGATGTTGGACAGAGCAGGCATTCAGTAAGCAAAAAAACACCAAGAATATGCCCAGACTGACACTTGCGCAACGAGACAGAGCGATCGGTATGGCCAATATGGGGGCTACTCAACGTCAGATAGCCAGAACCTGCAACTGCTCCCCAACCACCATCAGCAGGTTGATAATCCGCTACCAACAGACAGGGCAGACTCAAGACCGGCCAAGATCGGGAAGACCGAGAGTGACAACACCGGCCGAAGACCGCTACATCCGGCAGATTCACCTCCGAAACAGATGTGTGACGGCGACGTCAACGGCGGCAACAGCACTAGGGCATGCCATCAGCATCCTTCGACGACTTCGTACGACTGGTATACGAGCCTACAGACCCTTCCGTGGAAAGGCTTTGACCCGTCTACACCGTCAACGCAGACTGCAATGGGCACGAACTGTACATCGGTGGCAGCGACGTGACTGGGCGAGAGTGCTCTTTACAGATGAAAGTCGGTTCTGTCTGTTCAGGAACGATGGCAGAGTTCGAGTTTTTCGACAAAGGGGAGAGCGACTGGCGCCAAACTGCATTAGAGAAGTTCACCCGTTTGGAGGTGGAGGCGTTATGGTATGGGGTGGCATTTGTTGCCAGATTATAACACGGCTGGTTATCATACGAGGAAACCTGAATGCTCAGCGATACAGGGATGAAGTGTTGAGACCTGTTGTGGTGCCCTTTATTCAACATCAGCCAAGAGGATTAATTTTGCAACAAGACAACGCAAGGCCTCATACCGCCCGAATTGTTCAAGACTACCTGAACAACGTTAGCGTCAACGTATTGCCCTGGCCACCTTGTTCTCCAGACATGAACCCCATTAAACATCTCTCGGATCATCTTGATCGTCAGCTGACACAACATGTACCGCCTCCAGCGAACCGACAGGAACTTGAACAGACTCTATTCAACTTATGGAACAGGATTCCTGTTGACGTTATCCGCCGATTGACGACGTCAATGAGGAGGCGTGTGTTGGCGTCCATGGATGCCCTGGGTGGTCACACTCGCTATTGATGACGTGTTACCTGACTACTGTGTCATTAATTGACTCTTCATGCACTTTTCCAATGAACTCTGATTTGTGCAATTTTTAATTTGGACCCCTTGACTCTTTCTTTGTGTATTGCGGAGAATGCAATATCGGCATTACAATGCATTTTCATTCTAATTCATGGAAAATGATTTCTGTTGATAAATTAATCATCATAAATCTCACATATGCCTTTGTTTTTGGTGTTTGGTCAAGTGAAGTCATTGAAAACTTTCTTTTGCCCGCTGGTTTATTTCACTTCGATAACTGAAAGATTTATGAAAACGAAATGCATCATTAACTTGACCAGCACGTGAAAACTGCTTTCAGTTTCTCAAGAAGGCGAATCATGCAAATGTCAAACGTTATCAATATTAACTCTTTCAAAGACAAAAAAAATTAGGACCTTTTATCAATAAACAACATCTACAGTTTATTTACCCGTATTTATTGCAACATGGAATACTTTCCATCCACGAAATGTACTTTTGAAAATGTTGCCACCACCTATGCGTTTCTTGACGTATGCATTTAAAATCGGGGCGGAGGACAGAACATTATATAATTAGGATGTTTCCAGGTGAAATTGATAGATTGATTGATTGTTGTTTAACGCCGCACTCAGCAATACTCCAGCTATATGAAGGCGGTCTGTAAATAATCGAGTCTGGACCAGACAATCCAGTGATTGACATCAAGAGCATCGATCAACCCAGTAAGGATACGATGACATGCATCAACCAAGTCGGCGAGCCTGACCACCCGATCCCGTTAGTCGCCTTTTACGACAAGCATAGTCGCCTTTCACGGCAAGCGTGGGTTGCTGAAGACCAATTCTACCTAATTCTAGGTAAAAGGCATGGTAGGAGTCTAGGAGATTTGAGCAACTAAGAACACTTTTCATTGCAGCGTCAAGTATGCATTCAAAAACAAATCTAAACGATCTGCCGAGAAACGATTTCACAAACAACAAAACAAGCGTTAGTTTCACCTTGCTCTGTGTCAATAGTTTGTGATAGGCGTAAAACGTCTGTCCCTCCTTCGCCTTCACGTCTCCGTTGAAGGGGAAATATTTGACATTCATTGATGCCATTAGCTCTTTGGGTGTTGTAGACCTCATCACCCTGACAACTGACTGGTTCCCTGTAATCAATAACAGTTGATATAAAAAAAATGTTCTGTTGCGTGAGGTGAGGTGAAATGGGGTTTAACGCCGTCTTCAAGATTATTCTTGTGTGTGCCTGCTTGTACTAGTCCGGACTAATGCCGAGTTTGTAGTGCCAGCCTACTGAGATACCATGTCGCAGTTAAACATGAATACCCCACCCAATCACACACAGTATACTGACTCCGAGCCAATCAGTCCTTGTTTTAGCCTCTTAATGCAAAGCTCCAGGCTCTCCGGACAGACGCTCTATCCACTAGACCACGGAGGCGGTGTTCTGCTGAGTGAGGTCGCGGGTTTTAACAATATATTGGCATTATCACAGACACCAAATCTGAACTTTTCGTGTAGAAATTATATTATGTATTTATATCAACTTATCAGTGGTGGCTCTTCGTGTACCTCTCAGCTATTGTTCGACATATTCATTAAGCCTTTCTATATTAAAATTCTAGTATTATCGACAGTGAACAATTTGCGCAATTGTCGCAATACTACTGTAAACTAACGACTACCGATCCATTAAGTTGCATTTTACGAGCATAGGCTTATTGTAAGCTGGAATCCCCACGAGGATCAATCAGTGTTCGCGTCTCTTTCCTATAGTTAACTTTCCCTTTATGTCGAGCACCTTTTCAGCAGCTCCATACATTTGAGGTACAATCGAGCATGCTCTTTCTACGAATAGATCGAAGGGCGTCATGTTACTCCTGTTCGGGGTAACAACATTCAAGGCCTCAAAAAAGCTTTAGAAAAGGTTTATTGGAGATATGTGGAGGATATGTTAACCCCTTAATGCCGAGTGCCAGGCAGGGTAACAACATGTACCATATTTTAACGTCCTTTCGTATGACGCGGCCGGGATCGAACCCCGGACCTTCCGCTTTCCGGGCGGACGCTCTACCACCAGACCACTGAGGTGGTAATGGAGGATGAAATGCATGTAACAAATATCAAAATTTTGCGTAAACATTTATACAATGGCACGTGCGCGTGCAAATTGAATTTTCCAATGCTTGGGGAAACCTAAATATTACCGCAAGTATTGAAATAAGTATATATCAACTTCAAAATGACGGGGATAATTCTGGTAAGATATACTTACGTATCTGGTCATCTATATCTTTCTGCGTCAGTCGGCCATCATTGACGAGATTAGACGCTGCTCCCCGCAATGCCTTAGCTTTCTACAAGCAGAGGTAAAGTACATGCATTGTATAGACGTTTTCAGTTTGTGACTGAGCAGAGGTAAAGTACATGCATTGTATAGACGTTTTCAGTTTGTGACTGTAGCAGAGGTAAAGTACATGAATTGTATAGACGTTTTCAGTTTGTGACTGTAGCAGAGGTAAAGTACATGAATTGTATAGACGTTTTCAGTTTGTGACTGTAGCAGAGGTAAAGTACATGAATTGTATAGACGTTTTCAGTTTGTGACTGTAGCAGAGGTAAAGTACATGAATTGTATAGACGTTTTCAGTTTGTGACTGTAGCAGAGGTAAAGTACATGCATTGTATAGACGTTTTCAGTTTGTGACTGTAGCAGAGGTAAAGTACATGAATTGTATAGACGTTTTCAGTTTGTGACTGTAGCAGAGGTAAAGTACATGCATTGTATAGACGTTTTCAGTTTGTGACTGTAGCAGAGGTAAAGTACATGAATTGTATAGACGTTTTCAGTTTGTGACTGGAGTAACACTGTGCTTTTAAGCACCTCATCCACCACAAAATGTGAATTCAATCATGTACCGACTGACGCCAGATTACAGTTTTAATTATCTTTCAGTCAAAGATAAAATCTTTGTGATTGTTGTACCTTTTCTTTTGCCTCTTGAAGAAGGATGCAAGTGTCCACCAGATCCCTCTCGGTAACATTCTTAAGCTTGGGCAAACGTCTCAGCACACCTATTGTCTCCTTCCTGTTGTCTTTGATTGTTTGGTCCTTTCCCAGTGCCACGTCTAGCTCCAAGAGCACATTGTTGCCTTTATCTAAACCACAAAACTGAAGATTGCAATCTCAAATAGATAAGCTGACAGAGACGAAATAGGTTATATCAGGGCTTCACGGGGTATCATTGTACCATGGTCTTCACGGGGTATCATTGTACTATGGTCTTCACGGGGTATCATTGTACCATGGTCTTCACGGGGTATCATTGTACTATGGTCTTCGCGGGGTATCATTGTACTATGGTCTTCATGGGGTATCATTGTACTGTGGTCTTCACGGGGTATCATTGTACTATGGTCTTCGCGGGATGTCATTGTACTGAGGGCTTCGCGGGGTATCATTGTACTGTGGTCTTTACGGGGTATCATTGTACTATGGTCTTCACGGGGTATCATTGTACTATGGTCTTCACGGGGTATCATTGTACTATGGTCTTCGCGGGGTATCATTGTACTATGGCCTTCACGGGGTATCATTGTTCTATGGTCTTCACGGGGTATCATTGTACTATGGTCTTCACGGGGTATCATTGTACTATGGTCTTCGCGGGGTATCATTGTACTATGGTCTTTTCGGGGTATCATTGTACTATGGTCTTCGCGGGGTATCATTGTACTATGGTCTTTACGGGGTATCATTGTACTGTGGTCTTCACGGGGTATCATTGTACTATGGTCTTCACGGGATATCATTGTACTATGGTCTTCACGGGGTATCATTGTACTGTGGTCTTCACGGGATAGTATTGTACTATGGTCTTCACGGGGTATCATTGTACTATGGTCTTCACGGGGTATCATTTTACTGTGGTCTTCGTGGAGTATCATTGTACTGTGGTCTCTCGCGTATAGGTACATGAGTATCTTATAAGCAAGAATTTTGCCTATGTGCATCAATAACAATATCAAAATGTTTTGAGAATACACAGCACTGAAAGCCTGTCGTGAGTTTGTATATTCCCCTTGCAGATCAATACACTTCCTCCATCTATTCTCAAGGTCAGGTATCCCTGTATCCCAGGTCAAATCCTGGTTTGTCAATAGTCCAGGTCTCATCACCTATCACTAGCCTCAAATAAAAACCTTCTTAGTGGCAGTTACATCTGGTTAACAGGGCATTAGACCCGGGAAACCTTCAGGTGACCCGAGCAGCCTTCTTTTTACAAAATTGCATTCAAGGAACATGCGAGAAATGTTCATGGAGGATTATTTCTAGTGGCCCATACTAGAAGCCTGTGCTCTCTTCTAACTCAAGGAATGTACTGTGGCTATTGTTCCGTGCCAGGTTGTGGACGGGGTCAATGTTGTCTATCTCCCAAACCAATCTACTTTCAATTGTTACATGGCATGGGACAGGTCTCCACACACAGCATGCGGCTGTTCATCAATATTCTTTAGTAATTGGCCATCTAGGGTACATAATTTGATGACTGCTATAAACTCAGCTTTGTCCATTTAAATGCTAAAGAATAGGATACCTCGGAGTCGAATTCAGTTCACTGACTGTAGCACGCCACATTGTGAAAGATGACACGACAAACACAGGTCAAGTCTAAGATAAGTCACACGTAGGCATGACTATAAACTTGATATCCCAGACATTCTCTCTCTTTGCCCCTCGAATGTTGTAGTACTTACATTAGTACTCTCCAATTCGGCCTAAGGGCGTGGAGTAAAGTGTCCTTACAAAGCACCGATGGTATAAAACAATTCAAAATGAAAGGCATCATTGGCCCTTACAGAAACGCTTCACCCGTGAAGATCCTGGTTAGAATTGGTCTTCACGAACCCTTGGTTGTCGTAGCCGCCTCCGTGGTCTTGTGGTAGAGCGTCCGCCCAGAGAGCGGAAGGTCCGGGGTTCGATCCCCGGCCGCGTCATACCAAAAGACGTAAAAAGATGGTACTTGTTGGTACCCTGCCTGGCGCTCGACATTAAGGGGCTAAAACAAGGACTGGTCGGCTCGGAGTCAGTATACTGTGTCTGAGTGGGGTATTCATGTTAAACTGCGGCATGGTATCTCAGTGAGCTAGCACTATAAATCGCATCAGTCCGGACTAGTACAAGCAGCCACAGACACACACGTGCATGCACGTCGCTATATAAGTGCAATAATCTTGGACGCGACGTTAAACCCAATTTCACCTCGCCTCACCTTGGTTGTCGTAAGAGGCGACTACTGGATCGTGTGATCAGGCTCGCTGACTTGGATGATGCATGTCATTGCGTAGATGGATGCTCATGAGGTCAAGCACAAGATTGTCTGGTCCAGGATCGATGGTTCGAGCTCTGGTCCAGGCTCGATTATTTACAGACCGCCCTCATATATTACTGTTAAACAACAAACAAATAAATCCAGAAATGGTTCTACTTACTTTGAGCTTGGCACGACACAACAACGCCCATCGTGAGCTCTCTGCACTGGAACATGACAACATGGAAAACGTAAACATCAGTGTAAACCCTCTCAAGTCTATTCAAGTCAATAGTATTGCACCAGTGAAGCTCACCTCCTACAGGGACAGCTCTACACCAGCAGGTGTTTTGGTGATTATTTTCTATATTATCGAGATATTATCTCTTTGTACTCTTGTTTTGTGTATGGGCCGGGGGCATTAAGTAAAATAAAACCTCTTGACGTGTGTGTGTGTGTGTGTGCGTGTGCGTGTGTGTCTGCTTGTACTAGTCCGGACCGATGCCAATTTATAGTGCTTGCACATTGAGATACCATGCCGTAGTTTAACATGAATACCCCTCTAAGACACATTATACTGACTCCGAGCCGACCAGTCCTTGTTTTAGCCCCTTAAAGCCGAGCGCCAGACAGGGTAAAAACAAGTACCATCTTTTAACGTCTTTTGGTATGATGCGGCCGGGATCGAACCCCGTATCGTCCGCTCTCCGGGAGGACGCTCTACCACTAGACCACGGAAGCGGTCACTATCTACATGAGGTCCTTGAACAATAGGTAGGTGGCACCTCCATGTATGTAGCACTACAGCAGTGTGTATAGTACATATATACCACGGATATTTGTGACCGTGATACATGTTCAAAACAGATTGAGTTAGGGCTTCACAATTCAGTTCCATAAGAATTTAAGACATTTGTTTTCGTTAATAAAAACAGAAATACATGCATTTTCTGAACTGAGGCTATCTTCCAAGTTCACTGTGCACACTGAGAGGTACAGAGAAGTGATGTGAAAGCAATTCTTCATCAACCGATTGTTATATCAAACTCCTCACAAAAATATAAACAACACATATTATGCAATAATTGTTATAATTTGGGTAACACGTTCTTGGTAAAGTACAAATTCTAGTACTAATTGGGGTTGAGTCCCATTCGGGATTCAAACCCACACCCTCAGAGTGAGGTGCCTAATCAGCGATCTAACCCACTCAGCAACCACACTAAGAATCGAACCCGGGTATTTGGTGTGAAGAGACAACGCTTTACCAACTCGGCCACCTCACTGCGCTATGATGAACTTTACAATACTCACATAACGGCCAGTCTCTTGTTGTGCTGCAGGTGTACCTGCCTTCACTTGCACCTTGTGGTTGTGCGCCGCCGCATGTCGCGGTGCTGGCTTTATACTGCCATAAAAGTACCATGGGTAGTTCCACGAAAAGCATTTACACATGAATTCTTGGAATTGGGAGACCCCCTCAGCCCTTTATTCCGAACACCTGCCATAATCACTATTAGATAGTGATTCACCTACCCATGCTTTTGATATAGCTGGAATCGTACAATAGGCCCTGCTTTTAGCAGTGATTTCTTATCATTATTGAAAGGATTTTTACGCTTGTATTATTCTATCGTTCTTATCTGACGTTTCATAACTCGTTATCTGGCCTGCGTATCTACTGAGAACTGTATGTGAGCTATTTTGTTTTCACTTTTTGAAAAGCGTTTGTGCAGCCACGAGTGGAAACTATTCTTTGTCAGATCTACAGGCGTGTTAACATGTCATTCACGTACCCGCATGCATACACAGTAACTTTGTATAGAGTATAGAATCGGTCGTCAGCAACCCATGCTTGTCGTAACAGGCGACTATGCTTGTCGTAAGAGGCGACTAACGGGATCGGGTTGTCAGGCTTGCTGGCTTGGTTGTTGCATGTCATTGTATCTCAATTACGAAGTACGATGCTCATGATATCAACCACTGGCTTGTCTGGTCTAGACTCGATTATTTACAGACCGTCATCGAATATCTGCAATATTACAATATTGTGGCGTTAAACTACAAACAACCAAACAAATTCTACAGACTATACGGCTATGTGCTGGCATTGTGGTATGGTAGAGTCTTGCACTCATTTACGTTTTATGCAGGCTGTTAGAGTGGCAGGTGCTAGCAGTAGGTCAGGACATGTTTACCCTATCGAGAACACAGTGGTCCATTCATATAATTGTTCTACCTCTACTTTGCCTTTTACGCTCAATGGAATATCTTTCGGCAGATAATGGAAATAGTTTATTCTCTGGCGTCGACGTTAGGCGTTTGCTTGACCTGGGTCGACGTTTGACGTTCGCTTGACCTGGGTCGACGTTTGACGTTTGCTTGACCTGGGTCGATGTTTGGCGTTTGCTTGACCTGGGTCGATGTTTGGCGTTTGCTTGACCTGGGTCGACGTTTGACGTTCGCTTGACCTGGGTCGACGTTTGACGTTTGCTTGACCTGGGTCGACGTTTGGCGTTTGCTTGACCTGGGTCGATGTTTGGCGTTTGCTTGACCTGGGTCGACGTTTGACGTTCGCTTGACCTGGGTCGACGTTTGACGTTTGCTTGACCTGGGTCGACGTTTGACGTTTGCTTGACCTGGGTCGACGTTTAGCGTTTGCTTGACCTGGGTCGATGTTTGGCATTTGCTTGACCTGGGTCGATGTTTGGCGTTTGCTTGACCTGGGTCGATGTTTCTGCTGATGACTGAACGCATCATCGTGTCACTGGATTGTGTGGTCCATCACTTGCAGGAGTACTGCTGTGCGGCGTCTGGGAGCACACACATACATTTGTATGCAGGTTGTCGGTGGTGGGTGTATTTCGTGAATACAGTTAATTTTCTCCACTATTATGCCTTTTACGCCCATTCGGCAGATAATCGAGTGTGAACATCCTCTGGCGTTGCCGTTTTGAATAACCAGCTTTGAGTTAAATGTTTACCAAGATCCCTACCTGCAGAGTAGGAAAAACAATAAGCCACTGGGATATATAACAGACATTAAGTGCCATACGTGAGACGTTTAGTGGTTAAGGGAAGTTTGCCATGTAGAGTTGCGTCCCTTAGGCGTGCCAGAATCCTCTGATCGTTGGCTCGAATGCCATATTGGCCATGATTATGATTGTTTTTGTTAGCACTATACCCATCGCGGGTATCACCGAAGGGGAAAACGTCTCAGACATGCGTTAGTCCGGCCTCCGCCCACATTCCTCTTACGCCGTCAGATACTGATACGTCATTCACGCACTAACAAACTCATTACGATGGATGAAGTGAATGAATGTTGTTTTACGACACCCACTTCAATTCCTTATCGACTTTAAGCTTTACATCTTACAAATTGTCCAGGAAAATGGAAAAGTTTAAGTTAAAAACAGATCCGATTTGGCAGCTGTTGCGGTAAAATTAGTCTGCCTCCATACAAAATTCCAGCCCCAACACGTTTCTATAACATGAAATTCGCCCACTATAATGGTACCAAAGAAGCCGAGGGACATTTTCTCTGATACTCGCAAGGGATGGTATATTCCAGTTTCCATTGAAGGGAAAGCCTAAACATTTTCCTCACAAGACTGGAATCGACGTTCTTATATTAAATAGTAAATACTGATTATCAAACAGACATTTATACAATAGTTAGAAGTGGAAATCTTGACTCTTAGTGTTTGTATGCCTTCGTCAAATATTTTCTGTTGGTCATATGCATGTATGTGACTAGCTTGAATGTAATTCCTGCTTACTACTCACCCCTAAACCCACACAATGAGCTGTTATTTCAACTATATCACAGAGGGTCAGTGAATCATTGAACCAGACACTCCAGTGGTTGGTGTCATGAGAATCGATCACCACAATCAGCCAGGTGTGTAGATCGGGTGGGGTGGGTCTGGTGGATAGGATTGGGTGGGTCTGGTAGATCGGGTGGGGTGGGTCTGGTAGATCGGGTGGGGTGGGTCTGGTGGATAGGATTGGGTGGGTCTGGTGGATAGGATTGGGTGGGTCTGGTGGATAGGATTGGGTGGGTCTGGTGGATAGGATTGGGTGGGTCTGGTGGATAGGATTGGGTGGGTCTGGTGGATAGGATTGGGTGGGTCTGGTGGATAGGATTGGGTGGGTCTGGTGTATAGGATTGGGTGGGTCTGGTGTATAGGATTGGGTGGGTCTGGTGGATAGGATTGGGTGGGTCTGGTGGATAGGATTGGGTGGGTCTGGTGGATAGGATTGGGTGGGTCTGGTGGATAGGATTGGGTGGGGTGGGTCTGGTAGATTGGGTGGGGTGGGTCTGGTAGATCGGGTGGGGTGGGTCTGGTAGATCGGGTGGGGTGGGTCTGGTGGATAGGATTGGGTGGGGTGGGTCTGGTAGATTGGGTGGGGTGGGTCTGGTAGATCGGGTGGGGTGGGTCTGGTGGATAGGATTGGGTGGGGTGGGTCTGGTAGATTGGGTGAGGTAGGTCTGGTAGATCGGGTGGGTTTGGTCTGGTAGATCGGGTGGGGTGGGTCTGGTAGATCGGGTGAGGTAGGTCTGGTAGATCGGGTGAGGTAGGTCTGGTAGATCGGTTGGAGTGGGTCTGGTGGATAGGATTGGGTGGGTCTGGTAGATCGGGTGGAGTGGGTCTGGTAGATTGGGTGAGGTAGGTCTGGTAGATCGGATGGGGTGGGTCTGGTTGATAGGATTGGGTGGGTCTGGTAGATCGGGTGGAGTGGGTCTGGTAGATTGGGTGAGGTAGGTCTGGTAGATCGGGTGAGGTAGGTCTGGTAGATCGGATGGGGTGGGTCGGGTGGATAGGATTGGGTGGGTCTGGTAGATCGGATGAGGTAGGTCTGGTAGATCGGGTGAGGTAGGTCTGGTAGATCGGGTGAGGTAGGTCTGGTAGATCGTTTGGAGTGGGTCTGGTGGATAGGATTGGTCGGGTCTGGTAGATCGGGTGGAGTGGGTCTGGTAGATTGAGTGAGGTAGGTCTGGTAGATCGGGTGGGTTTGGTCTGGTAGATCGGATGGGGTGGGTCTGGTAGATCGGGTGAGGTAGGTCTGGTAGATCGGGTGAGGTAGGTCTGGTAGATCGGCTGGGGTGGGTCTGGTGGATAGGATTGGGTGGGTCTGGTAGATCGGGTGGAGTGGGTCTGGTAGATTGGGTGAGGTAGGTCTGGTAGATCGGGTAGAGTGGGTCTGGTAGATCGGGTGGAGTGGGTCTGGTAGATCGGGTGAGGTAGGTCTGGTAGATCGGGTGAGGTAGGTCTGGTAGATCGGTTGGTGTGGGTCTGGTGGATAGGATTGGGTGGGTCTGGTAGATCGGGTGGAGTGGGTCTGGTAGATCGGGTGAGGTAGGTCTGGTAGATCGGGTGAGGTAGGTCTGGTAGATCGGTTGGAGTGGGTCTGGTGGATAGGATTGGGTGGGTCTGGTTGATAGGATTGGGTGGGTCTGGTAGATCGGTTGGAGTGGGTCTGGTGGATTGGGTGAGGTAGGTCTGGTAGATCGGGTGAGGTAGGTCTGGTAGATCGGGTGGAGTGGGTCTGGTAGATCGGGTGGGTTGGGTCTGGTGGATAGGATTGGGTGGGTCTGGTAGATCGGGTGGGGTGGGTCTGGTGGATAGGATTGGGTGGGTCTGGTGGATAGGATTCGGTGGGTCTGGTAGATCAGTTGGAGTGGGTCTGGTGGATTGGGTGAGGTAGGTCTGGTAGATCGGTTGGAGTGGGTCTGGTGGATCGGGTGGGGTTGGTCTGGTGGATAGGATTGGGTGGGTCTGTTAGATCGGTTGGAGTGGGTCTGGTGGATTGGGTGAGGTAGGTCTGGTAGATCGGGTGGGGTGGGTCTGGTGGATCGGCTGGGATGGGTCTGGTGGATAGGATTGGGTGGGTCTGGTAGATCGGGTTAAGTGGGTCTGGTAGATTGGGTGAGGTAGGTCTGGTAGATCGGGTGGGATGGGTCTGGTGGATCGGCTGGGGTGGGTCTGGTGGATAGGATTGGGTGGGTCTGGTAGATCGGTTGGAGCGGGTCTGGTGGATTTGGTGAGGTAGGTCTGGTAGATCGGGTGGAGTGGGTCTGGTGGATCGGGTGGGGAGGGTCTGGTAGATCGGGTGGGGTGGGTCTGGTGGATCGGGTGGGGATGGTCTGGTAGATCGGGTGGGGAGGGTCTGGTGGATCGGGTGGGGTTGGTCTGGTGGATCGGGTGGGGAGGGTCTGGTAGATCGGGTGGGGTGGGTCTGGTGGATCGGGTGGGGAGGGTCTGGTGGATAGGATTGGGTGGGTCTGGTAGATCGGGTGAGGTAGGTCTGGTAGATCGGGTGGAGTGGGTCTGGTGGATCGGATGGGATGGGTCTGTCGGATCAGGTAGGGTGGCTTGGGTGGGGGTCTGGTAGATCGGGAGGGGCATGTTCGGTTTGAATTGGTTGGAGTAGTTTGGGTCGGTTACCTTTGCATCATTGATTTCATCGGTTTTGTCATTCATTCCTGTCTGGTTGCATTGTGTGAAGACCTCCCTAATTTATCTAAACACAAAAATCGCCACCCTCGGTGCAAGTTTGTGCAATATCACATCACACGTACATCACAAGTACCCGTGCAACTGTCCGACCAGGCATGAGTAAACATAGGTGCATTCAATAAGCCGTTTGGTGCCGAGGCGCCAGCGAGCGCTATAGAGCAGCAGTCCAGAGTGAGTCAATTTTACATAGACGTCCTCTTTTCGTTGACGAGATACTATTGCGTCAGGAAAATCAAGTCAACGAAAAGAGGACGTCTATGTAAAATTGATAAATATGGACATATTTGGCCGGAATTCAGCTTTTTAGATCATAAAACTTGCTAAATAAACGGAGATCACAAGTTTATCACAATTATCACCAAGAGATTTCCAAATGGTATTAGGGACTATCATTAACCATTCTTATAGCAGGCTTTGAGGACTACCTAAGCATGTTTGGGTTTGTAGGAATAGCCATAGCCACGCCATCAGGCTATAGCAGGCTTTGAGGACTTCATAGCTGATCAGATATATATTCACAAGAATCAGATTCATGCCATTTTCATAAAATTTCAACGATAGGCCTAATCTATGATATTAATACTAGTATTCAGAGACCTAATTTTATAAATACGTGATTTTAATCTAAAAAAATCCTTCCATCTTTAAGAACAAAACATAAATTTGACCATTTGTTGACTCTCAGAGCTGATGTCCAATGCTCTTCTGCCTCCTATGTTTCATTATGCACACTGGGATTACAGAGGGTCAACTCTGTGGGGTGGGGTGAGGGTGTGTCTGGCGGGCCTTATGCAGAAGATAATTTGTCTGGCAATGGGTATTGTGCAATAAGTAGAGTGCAATTGTTCATTTTATGTTGGTTTTATGTGGTACCTCCAATGTTTAACCCAGCCCAAATTTTGGGACCCTCTCTGGGGGGTATGGCGGACCTTATGCTGAGGAACATTTGTCAGGTATGGGCCGTGTTGTACTCAGTAACATGTACCTGTTCATCTAAACTTACTTTCATCTGGTACTTTGAATGTATACTCCAGTCAAATTTTACCAGAGTGTCCACTGGGTGCAATAAGGGGTCAACATTTGTGTGTGTGTGTGTGTGTGTGTGTGAGGGGGGGGGGGGGGGGGGGGGGGGGTGTGTCTGGCGGGCCTTATGCAGCAGACGATGTGTCTGGCAATGGGTACTTTATACTTAGTAGAGTGTAATAGTTCATTTTATGTTGATTTCATGTGGTACCT